ATTCTTGATTCATATGGTATGGACACTTCTTCCAGAAAATTGAATTATTATTTTATCTATAGAAACATTTGAATTTGATATATAAAGTTGTTTTGAGACTTTTCAAATGTACGAAAGTAACAGCTTCAATTTATTGAAGTAATTTTTAATTGTTGTAGCAGGGAAGGAAATGTGAAGATACCTCTTTATCTGTTCAAAACATTTTAAAGGCATTTGTATTAAAATAGGATAAATAGAAAACTTGTCAGTCTCATTTCAATACTGGTTAAGCAAAGGTAACTTAAAAAGTCCTTGGTAAATTATCAAAGCAAACCAGATAAGAAGTTGTTTCCAGGATAAATTCAGCCAATGTCTACAAGTAGCACTGGCACCTTTTGAAGTGAATAAAGATTTGTATTTTTGATGATAGTATCTAATATGCTGGTTGTAAAAAAAAAGAAAAAAAAAGTCAATTGGCTTAGAGACACCAATGTCAAGATATGTTGGTAGCTGAATGGATATTTGATAAGATTATCGTAAATGAATAAACAGTTCAAAATTGAATGGAGGTGGAATAATTCTCACTGTTTGGCTCTTGGTGATTTGCATTTCCTTTTGCAGATACTTCCAGTGTCTATTTTATTTTTCTCGTCTTTATCTTCATACTCTAAATCTTAATTGTCTAAGTGGTATTGATAAGAAGTTAAGGGTAGTACGTATTCTTCATCATTGTCAGAACCTGTTTTCAAAATTTTGTGAGGTAGAAAACTTGTTAAACCTAAAGTCATTGCATTTGACATAAAGGACATGCAGTTTTATTATTTATTTATTTTTTTTATTAATTTTTTTTCATTTTTTTTTAATAATTAGAAGAGGAAGAAGAAAAGCAATTATCAAGTTACACAATGTGTAATCTAAATGATCTGATAATTAACACAATTATTATTAACAAAGATCTACATATATGTAAGATGTAATTATGGATAATTGCTAATCCAATTTAACTTAGAAATTGGGAGAAGTAATTTAAGAAATTTAAAAGGAATTATACAAAATTAGTATAAAAAAATTTTAATGTTTAAATTTGAATACTGAACAATTCAATTCAAGAGATAATGCAATATAATGATACATTAATAATTTATATAATAGATGTTTTTATTGTCCTAGAAGAATTAGATCAAGGTATCGATCATAACTTGAATAGTCTTTTGTAAATAGTTATGGATATACATGATACAAATGGTCAAAGAATAAATGTGTATAAGAAGTTTGGTGATTATTTGCAAGATACTTTATTAAGAAGTACCGTAACAATATTAAAGAGAGAATTACATGGATGATCTTATCAAAATGAAGTATGAATTTATCAGATAACAATACAAGTACAATTATTATTTTGAAAAATAGGAACACCATATATCATAAGTTTTCAAAATGTCATATCAAATTAAATCTATAAGCTATCTAAATTAGAGTTCAAAAGGTTTTGCAACTATATAAAACAATAGTTATAAAATTAATAGAAGATCTCTTAGAAATGAATACAGAATCACAGAAGCTTCCTTTTGAAGGAGAAAATATTTGTGGTAATACAAATTGATAATTATATAAAATGTCATGAGGAATAATAATTTGTGGTACTAGATAAGCATTCAGGTAATTGTTATCCCAAGTGAGATGACCATATAAGGATGAAATATGAAGTACAAAGATGAAGGATGAAAGATGATACACAAAGGATGAAGGATGAAGTACAAAGATGAAAGATGAAGTGTAAACAAAAGAGAAAATATAAATTTGACTGTTGTCAGATGTAAGTTTCAGAAGTTCAGATTTTACCAACTAGTTAATTAATTATTATTTAGTATAATGAAATATACTGAAATATTTTAATTATTATTAGATAGAAAAGTAAACTTACTTCAGGAATGGTAAAATAGATATCCTAATACATGATAATATTTTTGTTACTGAATTATACTTTACTTTTAAAAACTTTATATTTTATATTTTAATAAACTTATATCTTGTGTTGTAATATTATGGAATATTATTAAATATTGTTTGATACTGTATTAATTGTTTTATCTGTTTCAAGATAGGCCAGTTAAATCAATTGTATTAGCTGTGACCTACTGGTAGATAGAGTGTATTATTGTGTTTATGTGATACAAACTTTGAAACTGATTTGAGAAATTATTCAAAATACTCTGTACAAGTGTGACAGAATTTGATATCTCCTTGGAGGTGACATAAAATATCTTAATGCAATAACCTATAATATTGGTATATCTATTTCATAAATTTTATATTCTTTAATAAATTTAGTAAAATATATAATATATTTCTATTACTGGAAAATATAGTTAAAGAAATTTTTAATATTTCGAAACTTATAATTATTATTTTTTACAAAAACTGATTCCTTATACTTTATTTTGTGACCTGACAAAACTAATTATCAAAGTAGTCATTAGCATAACAAAATTCTTCCAGATCAAAAGATTTATAACAAAGATTATCAAGCAAAAATTTGAGTAACTAGACAAAATCTCCAAAAGACATCAAAATTACTTTTACAAAATCTTATGAAATAATATATCAAACTGTATAAACAAAAAAAAAATATCAAATCAAGTATGAGTGCAAGGAAAAATAAGGTGAATGCTCTAATACAAGATTTTCAAAATACATTTTGTATAAAAAATGATACAAGAATGCTATTCTTTTTTAAAGGAAACCAAGATCCTATAGAATGATTAAAAGAATTTAATCAGTTTACAAGAATAAACCAATATACCAATGAATACAAATTCCAAGTTATTAGTGGATTATCAGTAATTATATTAATTCAAAAACCTTTGAAATTATATTACAACATTAAATTTCGAAGGTAATTAATTGTGTCACAACCTTTCAAAATCAAAATTTAACAATTAAATTTCGATATATTGTTAACCGTGATCTGACCTTCAAGGGATATGATTAACTATTAACTAAAAATACTATAGCTATACATGTCATTCAAATCCCAAATTATTTTGGAATTTCAGCTGCCAAAATTCAGTTTTCATAATATTTGGAATTTGGGATTTTGGCAATTAGTAATTTGAAATTTGGAATTTGGGATTTGGAATTTTGACAATTAGTAATTTGAAATTTGGGATTTGGAATTTGGGATTTAATATTTTGAATTTGGGCAGCACCTATAACTGTAGCTAAACTAAAATATAACAAACTACTAACTAATCTATACTAAAAAATATGATGATTGAAGGATTTAGATGTTGTAGATTTGTTCAAAAGAGGCAAGGCTATGAGATTTTTATAAGAGTTTGACTAAACTATTCACAAAGAATATAACTAAACTAGACTAAACTAATAATTCCTAACACTAAGTAAAGAATTATAACACTAAAACAATATACCAAGATCACAAAGCAAGGTATAATTAGCAAGGGTTTCAGTATTCTATCTAGGAATAATACAAAATTCCACTAAGAAATTACAATGATATAAATAATAATCCATAAGAGTATTATTTATAAGGCAAATCACAAAGTATTTTATTAACAAGAACTGAGAGTTAGCTATTGAACTGAGAACTGAGCAAAGAGAAATTCAGCTCTTTATATACATAATTGAAGTTATAATAGATTACACTATAGACTACACTAATACATACACTATTAATTACGCTAATGTATACACTATTAACAACGCTATCTATTACACTATCGATTACGCTATTGAATATACTATTAATTATACTGTTCATTACACTGTTGATTATACTCAGATCTACAGTCGTAATACCTAATAGTTGTACCAATTTCTAAATGATTTATGCTAATAATTTCCTATAATATATACTAATAAAAATATGAAATTAAACTAATAAGATATAGTTATAAGTTAATACATGCTAATAATATAATAATATAATAAATGGATAAACTAAAAATATATTAATAATAAGATTTGACAACTAGGGTCAACAGCATAAAACTTAAAAAGTCGAAATATCTCAAAATTCAAAATTAATTTTGGGAACATGTATAACTGATATATATTTAATATACTATATCGATATATTGAAGATACAGTATGTACTTGATAAAAAATAAATGAAATTAGATGTCCAAAAAGTATATAAAAGATTTGAAAAAAATATTAAAAAATTAGAATCCGATATGTGTCCAATATCTGTTAATATGTATTCAATATATACCTAAACTTTAGAATACTTACCTTATCTATTGGGTATCTGATATATTATAATTTAGAAAAAATCAGACACCTATCACATACCTATTGAATATCCGATAGGTATATGATAAGTACTGATTTTTCACAATTTGACTAGTATTAATTTTTTCAAGTATTCTTTAAATGTTTTAGAGTAAATATTAATATTATCTAAATAGACAATAATATCTTTATATAATAGTCCATTAAAAACTTAATTCATAAGTTGTTGAAAGGTAGCAGAGGTGTTAGTTAACTTAAACAATATTATTATAAATTCATATATTTTTTGTTTCACAATAAAGGCAATTTTCTCTTGATTTCTAGGGTCCATTTTAACTTGCCAATATTTACTCATTAAATTAAGGATAATAAACTATCTTATACTTTATATTACACTTAATATATTATTTACATAAAAAATTAGATAAACATCTTTTTTAATAATGATATTTACTTTTCTATAATTAACATATATATGTTATTTTTCATTCTTTTTGTCTACAACAACTACAAGAGAAATTCAAAGGCTAAAGGATTTCACAACTAATCTTTTTTGTAGTAGTCATTTATTTTTTCTCTATAAATCTCTTCTACTGAATTGCAACAGTAAAATCTTTGTTTCACAAGTTTCTTAATTCTAGTATTAATTTTATATTGGATAATATTTGTTCATCCTAATTGACTAATATCTGTCACAAATAAATCTTAATTTTCTTTAAGTAACTGATTAAATTAGACTTGTTGTTTAGTACTTAAAGTATTAACATTCATTTAGTTTTAACTAATAAATCTCCCAAGATTATAAGGATTTCATCTAAAATATCCTTATTATCATCACTATCATTTTCAGATTCTGATTCTGAATTGCTTTTATTATCTTTAGATTCAATAGAATCTGAATTATCACTATCTTTATCATTTTCAATTTTATTATTATTTTCTTTACTGTTATTACTTTTATTCTTATTTTCTTTAGAGAAATTCATTTCATTCTCTGAATATTCAATATAGTTTTTAAAGAATTTATCATTGTTATTATTTTTTTTGTTCAGAAAATTTCTCTTCACTTTTTGTTTCACTGTTCTTCACTTGCAATTTCAGAATTTCTATTAATTTTCTTAAATATAGGAAGTAGAATTAAATCTTTGTTTCTCCATTTAAAGATTAATTCCTGATTTTGTCAATTATAATTATCATTAGTTTTTAGAAGTCAGTTATTTTTCAAGATAAGAGTATAGGTAGTAGTTTTAATAACTTCTATATTAATAGGGATAGTATAACCTATAACATTAATAGGAAAGTTCTTAATGACTTTTAAAATAAGAAAAACCTATTAAAAATTTAATGATGACTATTTCTGTTCTCAAATTTTTTAAAGTTAATTGAAACATTTATCTGATAAGTAATTAGTATTTACTATTTCTGTTATTAAATATATTTTTAACTTAAGTATATATATAATTTAGATTCAAGATAAATATATTTGTCATTATATAAAAAAAGTATTAGAAGAAATGAATAAAAGAGGAAGAAAAAATGAAGAGAAAAGAAGAAGGAGAAGGAGAAAAGAGACATATCAGAAAATTTAATTAGGTGTAGATTTATGAAAATATCATATGACCTCTGGAAATTTACACCTGAAAATTTTGATTTTTTAAATTTGGCCAAGATTTAGGTGACAGGGAGCAATTTTCTACTAAGATATTTCTAATAGATCGAAAGTCCTGATTTTGACTACAAGATGATATGTGTTTCATTACTATAGTATCGATATTCATGAAGAAATTCATGTTTAAATTCAAAGTATCTATGAAAATTTATGCTATAATTTTTTTGTAAATTTTCATAATTCTGCTGGAAATTTTTATTACGTCACAAAAATTTCCAGCAGAATTATGAAAATTTACAAAAAAATTATGGTATAAATTTTCACAGATGTGATGTTATAGTAATGAAACATATATCATCTTGTAGTCAAAAATCAGGGCTTTTGATCTATTTTAGAAATATCTTAGTAGAAAATCACTTCCTGTCATCTAAACACTGGTCGAAAATTGATAAAACATACACATATCAGGTACCCGATATGTGCATGGTGTTTCCCTAATATCGGACATATATCGGATACCCAATAGGTGTAGAAAATATTTTATATATATATCGAATATCCGATATATGCCCGATATTAGGGACACACCATGCACATATCAGGTACTCGATATGTATATGTTTTATCAATTTTCGATTAGTGAAATCTCAGCTAAAATTAAAAAATCAAATTTTTCAGGTGTAAATTTCTGGAGGTCATATGATATTTCCATAAATCTATATCTAATTAAATTTCCTGATACAAGAGACAGAAAAAGACAAAAGAAAGAGAAGAAAAAGGAAAAGAAGAAAAGAAAGAAAAGAAGAAAAGAAAGAAAAGAAGTTGTTATAGAAAGTTCTATTATTCAATAATTATTTATTATTTAAATATTATTAATTTATTATTATTATTATTTTTATTATTTATTATTGTTATTATATAATGGTTTTAAAATTGAAATAAAAGAGTTAATTTCATTGAATATAGAGTATTGTGAATATACATACCATCCAAATTTCAAATTAATATGGTATTATAGTTACCAAAGTATATCAAAATTATTTGAGATCTGAGGATCAAAATATCTCAAATTCTAAATTATTTTTAATATACCAAATTATTTTTGGCTCACAAATATTTAAGATATAAAAAATTATTTGAAAGAAAAAAAAAACTATTTTAATTAGTATAATATATATATTTGAGTTTAAAATAAACTCGAACATATATACTACCTACTCAAAAGTTTAGGACCATATACTTAATTTATTTAATAAAATATAATAATTTTTAAAAATTTGATTATATTTAAAACAATTTTTTTTGCCAATATTTTTTTTATATAATTTTTATATTATTATATTAAATACCTATATTTTTATAAAATAATTAATATTGATATATTAAAAACATATTGAAAGTTTTATCATCCATTAAAGCACCTTTAAAACAATTTTAATAGTAAATTACAAAAACTTTTTATAAATTTTTTAAATTTCAAGTATTAGCAATATAATATTTTTGAAATATAATTAATTTAAAGTTATTTTTTTTTTTATAATATTATACCTATTCAATTTTAAAATGATTAGTATTTTATTAATTATTATTTAATATAAAAATTAGGTAACGTGAATTTTCAAAAAAAAAATTTTCATATATATTATTAAGTAAATTTAGTATTAGTCCTAAACTTTTGAGTAGGTAGTTATGTATTTTAAATTTTAATATATATTCATTTTGAACTTATTTTTTTTTTTGAACACATATATATTTGAGTCTATTTTTTAAACTCAAATATATATACTGTTTAAATATTTTTTTATTTTTTTTAATCCTTTTTTTCGAGTGCATATATATTCGAGTTTATTTTTTTGAATTCATATATATTCGAGCTTATTTTTTTAAATGTATATATATTTGAATCTATTTTTGAGCACATATATATTTGAATATCAGTCCTAAACTTTTGAGTAAGTAGTGTATGTATTTTAAACTCTAATATATATGCATTAATCTCCTTTTTTTTTTGAACATATATATATTCAAGTCTATTTTTTTAAAATCAAATATATATACTGTTTAAATATTTTTATTTTTTTTAATTCTTTTTTTCGAGCACATATATATTCGAGTTTATTTTTTTGAATTCATATATATTCGAGCTTATTTTTTTAAATGCATATATATTTGAGTCTATTTTTTGAACACATATATATTTGAGTATCAGTCCTAAACTTTTGAGTAGGTAGTGTATGTATTTTAAACTCTAATATATTGTTGACCGTGATTTACCTTCAAATAAATACGATTAACTAACAACTAAAGGCAGGGAAATATGTATAGCGAACA